TGCTGACTCCACTGCTTGAAAAATTTGTTTACTGCTCCTCCCCCCCAAAATATTAAGGATGAATGCAGTAACTATAAAATTAGCTCCCCAAGACATTAAATATATTTGAAATTTTTAACCACAAAGTAAATTATTTAACAGTAATCACTGTTTTATTTAAGCTGACTTAATGAAATCTTCATATCAGCAAATTTAAGGCCAGAGGGCACTAAACTAACTGTAAACTCATGACATGCAACAGGATTACTCATCTATTATCAGTGAAATTATTCTTGCACATAATGAAGACTCTAAGTACCAAGCTAAGTCTTTCACTAAGGATGTTACCTAGGATGAGCAGTATATGCTTATTAGGAAATTAACTATGCGAACTGAAGAGACCAGACTTCAAAATCTAATTTTTATAAATATGCTCTATGTTCTCATTGGATAAAAACTGGTTATTAACCAATTTTCCAGAACAGCTGTACAGAATTTCTACATAGCAGCCAGCTAAATGGTACAAAATAACATGTTTAAGCTGGAATGGCTTATAATTTTATTTAGATAAAATTGCTGCTATAAAAAGTGCTTTGCGAAGCTAAGGAAAATATACAAATATTTTAATTAAGGCAAATTTGTTTTTTTAAAAATAAGCCTTTTAGCAGTGATTGCTTTGTAAACAAAGGATGGGTTGGTCGGAGGAGAGAGCGCCTTAAACTCAAGTCTGACATTCAGGCCCGTGTCACCTTATAAACCCGCCCTCAACAATTCTATTTTCTATTTGCAAAGAGAAACCAGCTGTTGGTTGGGTTTACTAGGTGACGTGTGATTGACTGACTCACCTACCTGCTCCGAGCAGCAGAGGCACTCTCACCTTTTGTTTATGGGGCCTTGTTTCTAAGCACGTGGATGTGTAAAAAGAGAATGAGGCTCAACCTTTTGCTGCCTCCTCGTTGAGCGCCCTCTCACCCCACCTTCACCCCACCCCCACCTCTTACAAGGAATTGTTTAAATTTCCCTGTTTGACCCAGCGGCAATTCTTCGTCTACATAAATAATCCATATTAGTGAAACCATTCTCTTTTGATAGGTGGTTACTAGCAGTTAACAACCATCTATTTACTTTTAAAATTAATAATAAAGTTTATAAACCAACCATCCATCTGCCCCTCCTCCCCAGTGCTTGGCAGGGTGAGTTGGGTTTTTTTCAGCCTTTCTTCTGGTGGAAGAGCTTGCCCGGTGGGGGAGGGAAGAAAAGGGGCGGAGGAAGGGAGAGATTCGAGACTGGCTAGGAGGAGAAAGGTACTTGGGAAGAGGAGTTAGGGAATGTGGAGAATGGGGAGAATCAAGATCGTTTAAATATTCAGTCAATTAGACAAATAAAGCCAAGCGTGTATGTTTCCCTTCCATTTTATGGTTATGTGAGAGCCTTGCCCTTGGCATGCTCTTTCAGGGTCCCCTCGCCACCTTTATGCTATTTTAACTTTTACTCTTGTAAATTTCAGAGCCAGTTCTGAGGTTACTGAGGACACTTAACCCAACGAGGGAAATAATAGAGAAGCTGAGAGTGTTTTTATGTTTCTTAAAAGGCAAAACCAAAACGCCCTCCTTCAAGCAAGGAATACACAATTGTACCTGCTATTTTTATTTGGGGTGGGGGTGCCGCCTGAATGAGGCAACTTTTAAGCATCATCTAGTTTTTTGTTTTGTTTTTTTTTTTAATTCAAAAATATTTTACCCTATCATATTTAATCAGCTGTAATTATAACAATTCAAAATGAATAATATGCCTTGACAGTATTTTTATTGTTATTGTTCATTGCATGATGTTCGACTGCTTTAGAAGCACAGGAAAGAGAAGTAAACGCGCTACAAATGGGGAATTACCCTCGTTTAGCATTAAAATTCATTTAGATAAAATTGCCACAAACATTTAAATGGGAAGATTAGTTCCCCCTCACGCCTTATTGCACTCGCTCAATGGTTCCGTTAAGAACATTTTACACGTTGGAAATTCCGTCTTCTCAGACGGCTTGCTGTTTCCTAGTTACCCACATTCAAAGAAAAAGCAGCAGCAAAGGCAGCCGCAACAGCAGCAGCGGCAGCAAAAAAAAAAAAAAAAAAGTTTTGGCAACTGGTGTGCAATTCATCCGCTGTGAGCTCTAGTCTCTCCTCCGCCCACTGCAGGCGACCCCCCACCCACCACCGTTTCTCCACTCCATCCTCCCCTCCATACAGTAAGTAATTTGCTGAGTCCTGCCTTCGAAGAAACAAATTTAGTTGCAAAGTTTTTGCATATGCTGTTAAAATACAATGAAATAGCAAAAACAGAACAACTACAACAAAACAAAACAAACACCAAAAAACAGTCTGTCCGTTTCCTGGTCTCCCCTTTCTCCCTTCGGTTATGAATTGAGGGTTTAGTTAAATGTGCTGAGTTTTTCACATCCCCTACCCTGAACACGAGTCACGTGTTTTGGCTTTCTTTCCTGCCAGGACATTTCCAGGAAATTCACCATTGCTTCTTGTATTAGAAATGTGTGAAAGAATGAGTTTGAAAAGTCCACACAACGTTGTGTAGTTTCTCCCTCCCCTGTTCTCGCCTTTGGGAGTGTCTAGATCTCCCGCCCTCCGTCTCTCTCCCCTCTATCTCCCCCCTCCCTTCGCAGAGCTACGGGAAAAGAGGAATGTCGGCTTCGACTGCCATCTTTTGGGGATTTGGAAAAACGACTCGGTAGGAAACAGGGAGGCGGAGGCGCGGGGTGGGGTGTGGGGGGGAAACCCCTTATTATCCTGTGTCGGAACTGGCTCCCTTAATCTGATGCTTAAATATTTGATGTGGAAAAATTACCCATAAAATTAGTTACTAACAATTTCAAATTGAAATCACTTATCGAATTATAAACGCATTAAAGCTGTATGGATGGTATTAGGAGTTTCTCGGGAGGCAGCGGGTGTCTCCTTGCAGTGAGCGGGGCCGGCGAATTTAGCCCCGGGGAGAGCTTGTCCCCAGTGCGGCCCAGAACAGGCAGGGAGGGTGGAGCGGCGGCCAGAGAGTGAGGGTGAGGGTCTGGGTCTGAGTCGGGGCGGAGGGAGGGGGGACGACCGAGAGGGCGGCCAGACCCCGACGAAGGCTCGGACTTGCTGGGCTTGCAGGGGCGGGGAGGAGGAGGGAAAGAAGCGCTAGGGGAGGGGGAGAGGAGGAGACTCCGACCCCAGGGCAGAGGCGCCCACCCGGAAACTTCTTAGTGAAGTTGAAAGATTCCGAAAAAGCATAAACCCTGCCCTCCGCCCACGTCTTTTATGCAGCCCGCAGACTTTGCGCTGCGGTTCGGTTGCTGTGTGCTGGCCCCCAAGCCAGCGTACCGCAAGTCGAGGGGAGATGACCGTGGCCTAGGGTTGGGTTGGGCTCCTAGCCCCAAGAGAAAATTCCCCGGACGGCGGCGGTGGCTGCGCAGAGCTCGGGTCCAGAAGCGGATGCCTTTACGTCCTACTGAGCTCCGGGTGCCAGTCTGGGCCGACAGGTTTCCTGCCAACAGGCCGGAGCACCCAAGAGGCGGCTTTGGCCTCGATTAAACGCCTGCCTCCGTTCCCCGCCCCGCCCCCCTCCTCCCCGGCTTCCCGACCCAATCCTGAAAGTCTGGTCTGAGGGGCTGCCGACGTCGTCTCCGGGGACAGGGCAACTCCAGGTTAGAGCAAACGATTGTAGAGGATCCTCCTAGAGGACTGTGGGGCCTGTTCTCTCAGAACCGCTCAAGTGTTTTGTGGTGGACTGGAGATGGACTTCTTCAAGTCGCGGCCCGTGTCGCTCATGCGCGGACGCAGCACCCAGAGTGCGACAGCGAGCGCGCAGGGTTGGGGAGTAGGGACACTAGGCACCCGAGCAGCGCCCACTAGGTGGGTCGCGAGTGCAGCGCTCCGGAGCCACCGGGGATGAGTCCTGGACAGCACCCCGATACTTCAGGCACGAGCTCCTGGGGAATCTCTTTATAGCCTCTGCAAACTTTCCCCAGTCGTTCCGATCCGGCAGGCCTCGACCCAAGAGATGGCAGTAAAAACAGGACTTGTTGATGGTATCATGATGCAAAGTTTCCCGGGCAGGCACTTGGAGCCGGTGGAGTGGCTTGGTATTGGTCAGTGGGCGTCCTGCCTGACCTCGCCATCTCTCCTGGTCTCTCTCACTCGCCGGTACCACTTCGTACCTATTGACTGTTAGGTGGCCGGTAGCACTCAGGATGGCAAAGGTGTTGGGGATCCTAGGTCCTGGAAAAGAGCAGGGAAGGGGAGAACGGGAATGGGGGAGGGCAAAGGCCTTGAGGGGGGCGACTGATGTTGGGGATTGGGGGGAAGTTTCCCCTTCTGCCCGACCTGCCCGCCTACGCGTCTGTAACATTCTCTTCCTAGGCAGAGCTGAAAGGAAAAACAAACAACGTATTGAGCAATCAGTTTCGCCAACGTCTGAGCTTTAAAGAGTCTTTGCCCTGAAAACGGGTACCCCGGGGGTCTCGGTGCGGAGGTGGGGCGTTTTTAGGGCCTTGGTTCTGGCTGGGTGCACCGCCTCCTGCTTGGCGGACGCGCCTCTGCCCACAGCGGGGAAATCCAGGCGATGAAACCCTGGAGAAAAGGGATTTAGTTTTAAGCCAGTCTCCCATCGATCGGGTCGGTAATTTCTACCCCTGCCCACTTGCAGACACACTCACCTCTACCCTAAAGCATTAAGTTCATTACAAGAGCAATGATCTTAATCTCCAGGCGGAAAACGAGTCTCGGACCTCGCAGATTGGGGAAGCAGTGAATAAAGTCACCTGCCAAACGTTACCCGCCCAGCGGGCTACTGTGGGAGGAAGCCTCTGGTGGCTGGGCGTCCGACGCAGGGGTCCTTTGCTCTGCGCACACGTTTGCCCGACAAGGGTCAAAAACCTCACGTCTTGTTTTCTCTGGGTGGGAAACCTCAAAGTGTGGGATTGCGCTCGCTCCGTTCGCTTTGCTCCCCTCCTCCCGTCTTCCTTTCTTCTTGGG